AGCTCGCTACCGGCTTCTCCGGGGGGAAACAATTTCATTCCCCAGTGGGAATATCCTCGTCCCTCCTTGGCGATCTGGGAGCAGAGCTGTCTTGTCAGCTGTGTTTCTGCGGTGAGGACTCGGAGCAGGCATCCTCGGCTGGGTTGCCTGGGCTGGATGTAGCCCCAGCAGCAGGAAATCTCCAGCCCCTACTGAGCATGGGGCGATCCCTGGGGAGCTTTGCCCGGGTGGCGGGGATGCGGCGCTCAGCACCCCTGAGTGCCCAGCATGGACATCAGCTGCCTGGTGGAAACATGAGCCCTGTGTAGCTCCGTGCCTCAGTTTCCCTTCTCCCCCTGCCTGGGGCAGGATTAGGCTCCCTTAGTGGGACCGGAGACCCAGGACCCATCCCAGACCCCTCAGGACCCCCCCAGGTCTCTTCTGCAGGGCCCAAGCTCTGTACATGTGTTCGGATTTTAATCAGGGGCCAGAGCTGTTTCTCTGCTCAGGCTTTGCAAGCAGCCATTTAAATTTCAAATGAGCTGCACCACTAAATAGGCCTTCATAATTAAACGAATGCAGCCCGGCTACAAATTGGGGCGACAGCCCAGCCCTGAGCGACAAAGGCAGCAGCGGCTCTCGATCATCTCCATTGCCTTCCTAGACATGATCTTTGCATCTTCCTGGCGAACCAGCATGACCTGACCCCTCCCAAAACAAGCTGGGATCCAAATCCTTGGGCCAGGGGTTCCACTCCATCCATGGAAACGCGGTGGTTGTGGTTTAAGCCCTTCTGGCCAGCAGCAGGGTTTGTATCGGCTCCTTTTCCTGACCTCTAGACTTGCCCGCCGGCACAGGAGCGTGCAAAAAGGATGTGCAGGCTCCGTCTCACTCAAAGGTTCAAGGTCTGAGCTCTGACCCGGTGGCAGTGCCGGGATGTCGGAGCAGGAACGAATCCTGAGCAGAAATCCCTGTTCGGGGGGTGGTCAGTCCTGGAAGCCACCTGGGGCAGGCGGGTGGAGGATGCAGGGGGCTGCGAGCTGTTATCACAGCCCAGCTGTGGTAGGGATGGCACCGGAGTGGGCTCGGTCCCATGGGGAAATAACTCATGTGGATTTTCAGACTCGAGCCCATCTCGGAGCTTTTTTATTTTTCTTGGTTGTGTCTTTGCCCAGTTTGCTCAGCTGTGATTGGGGAAGCCCCTGTACAAACTGAGCTCCGGGGTTCAAATTTCCACTTTTTCCCCCTGTAGCATCTTCTAATTGCAGGTTTCTTAGCACTTCTGCCCTTTAATGGGACAAGCTGTAACTTGTGTCCCACCCAGGGGACTGGGAGACCTTCCTGGTAGGACAGGCAAAGGTGGCTCCCGCGTTCCCAGACCCATCCAGGGAGGTCTGGGGCTGCTCAGGACCTTGGGCATCTGCTGGTTCAAACAGAAGTCACCAACTTCTTGCCATGGGAGTGCAGGGAGCGTTTGGGGAAGAGCCCAGTTTCAGTCTCCATGAACATTTGGGATTTTTGGGGGGTTTGGTGTGTTTTTTGTTGGTTTGGTTTTGTTTGGTTTTTTGAGGAATTGCTTTTGCTCTCATTTTTTCTTCTGTTTTGTTAAATAGCATCAGGAAAAATAATGTGTTGCTGATAATCTCAGCCAAGTGTGGAAGATAGCCTTTGGTGAGCTCTGGCTGGCCCGGTGTCAGCTTCTCAGAGGGGTTAAGGGTTGGCTTGTAACCCTGCGTTCACGTGCGGCACATCCGACAGCGACAGGCAGCCGCAGTGATGCGATGCTTTCACAGTGCCCGATGGGGCGAGAGCCTGGCAGGCGGATGGGGGAGTGCCGAAGCCGCCGGTTCAGCTGCGGTGCCGATGCAGCCCTTTTCCATCAGAGCTGGCGAACCGACCCCTGGCAGCTGTGGCTGCAGCACCTCAGCATCCAGAACTGGAGTTAGCAAGTGATTTACTGGGGGAATGGGGAGGGACCTGGGGCTGCATCTCTGCAGTGGTGGGAGCCGTCGCGGTGGGCCGATTCCCACCACGGCCGTATGCACCGCTCTCATCTGGATACCAAAACCATCTAGACCTCGTATTCAGGTCGATCTCCGTGCTGTTTGATGTGTGCAATGGTTTGAGACGGCTCCTGCGGCAAGGAGAAACCCGTGCCAGGGCTGTCCCTGGCACACAGTGCTGTTGGCACGTCCCACTCCATCCCGCTGCCGGGGCTGAGCCAGGCGCAGGGTGCTGTGCCGGGGTGGGGGACCCATGGCACACACCAGCCCAGCAACTCTCTGGCTTTGCAAGACCCGGTTTTGTATCTGGAGATGCGTGAGATGTCCGTAAGTCCTGATTGCCACCCAGGGTGTCTGGCACTGCCCGCCCGGCTCCTGCTGCTCCCTAAATTAAATATGTGCTGCCTCTTGAAAAGCACATGTGAGTGGAACGGCGGAGATAAGCTAAACAGGAGAAGTTCAGGGGATTATGCACTGATTAAGTTATTAGTAATGTGAAATGAGCCACACTGAGATGAAACAGGAGCTTTATTTTCTGTTCCCTGGTTTCGAGCTTGGGGCTGGCTGTCACCAGACAGCAGATCAAACTGGGAGCCAGGAGCTCCTGTATCCCCTGGCGCTTCCAGCACCGCAGCGGGTCGGTGCTGTGCAAGCCCATAGGAAGCAGAGTGTTAACGGGGCTGGGAATCAGAGAATCATAGAATCATTATGGTTGGAAGAGACCTCAAAGATCATCAAGCCCAGCCGTACACCTGATGCCACCATGCCCACTAAACCGTGTCTTGAAGCACCACATCTAAACGTTTTTTGAACATCTCCAGGGACGATGACTCCACCACCTCCCTAGGGAGCCTGTACCCCTAACGACTCTAACAGTGAAGAAGTTCTTTCTAATGTCCAGCCTGAACCTCCCCTGGCACAATCGGGGGTCTTCCCTGCTGGGGGGGGGGGAAGGTTTGCTGGGATGCAGCGCTTGAGACAGAGCTATTTCCAGTGCTGGGGTACCCACCCTGTAGCAGATTTGGGTAGGAAAGGAATTCTTCTCTGCAACAGGAAAATCCAGCGCTGCTGAAGGATGTGTTGAGGGAGAACCACCGATTTGCTCCGTTTCCCATGCTTTTCCTTCAGCATCCCCTGCAGGCGGCCGTCAAAGGCAGGATGCTGGGCTAGGTGGGTCTTGGAGAGTGAAAAATAGAAGTGCAAAACAAAAGGTTGGTTGCTAAGTGTTTGAGAATGAAGTTGATTTCCTGTAAGCACTCAGGACAGGCTGGATGGGGTGGACAAGTCAGGAGTTTATGCCTGGAGAGGCAGGGGCAGGAGGCCGGGTCCACGAAGGCTGGCTATCCGGAGCTGCAGCAGCCCAGCTGGATTTGGGCACAGGCAGGGATTAACCTGTGCTTGGGCAGGATGGTGGGGCTGTGGGGCTGTTGGCAGAGCCAGGGAAGGGATATCGGGGACAGCAGGGCACCGAGATGGTCCATAAACCACTGAGCCCATCAGCGGGGCTGGGGAGCACGAGACCCCGGGCGGTTTTGGGGCTGAAGCCATGGGGAGGGGGATTTTCTCGGTCTGACACGGCAGGAACCAGCCCCTGACGGTGTCTTGCTTGCTCTTTGTGTGCCTGCAGTGATGGGCGCGCTGGAGTCCCGAGGGGTGCTGCGGCGAATGAGCGACATGCTGGAGATGCTGATGAAGAGGATGGACATCTTGGCCAGGCTGGAGAATAGCACTGACTTCCACAAAGGGGATGAAGCGCGATTCCCTCTGGACAGGTCAGTTGGCCATGCTGATGCCTTATGCGGACCCCATGGGGGGTTGAGGGGTTTATAGGACAAAGAAACCCCAATGTGCTCCGCGGTGTTGGGCTGAGCCCCTGCGTGGGGATGCTGGAGCCCACCAGGGCATGGGGCTTGGGCAGATCTTTTGCAATCTTGTTGTTTGCCATTTCTGGAACCTTTTTCTTTTGGGATTTCTGAAATTACTGCGATTTTGGGGATTTCCTGTAGCACCTGCCCCAGCTGCTAGCGTCGCGGTGCGGGAGGATGTCTCTTCACCACCGTGCTGTGGTGGAGCCAGAGGTGGGACTCGCCGATGGCTGGAGCAGTGCCTGGTGCGTGGGCTGTGCTCCCTCAGCCATTAACTCCCAGAGCGAGCTCAGACTGGTTTCTTTGTGCCCATATTCCTCCAGTAACTGGAGAAGTGATTCTTGTTTGAAATCCAGAGCTGATATGTTCAGCCTTGGAGTTGAGCAACACTTAAAATGAGAGAGGAGGAAACTGTTGGGCCCCGAAACACGCATCCTGGCTCCCTGGGATGCCCCCACCACATCTGTCCCGGCCAGCAGCTTGAGAGATGCCATCAGACCTTCCCGTTGTGACATGCCGATTCCCTAAAGAGACGTTTCCCTTTGCTTTGAGAGCCTTTAAACAGTTATTAATACTAATTTCGCTGCCGCGCCAAGGCTTGCAAAAATGTTAACTGAAGGGCTCGAATGTGGAGGGGCAGAGATGAAAAAACCAAGGGGAAGCGCTTGGGACAAACTCTGCAATGCAGAAAAGATGCCAGCGTAGATTTTGCTCAGGTGAAGTCACAGGTGACACGTGAGCGGTGGGTGGCAGGGATGTGACATGCGGTGGTCACCGCTGCCCTGTTCCGTGCCACGGGAGCCGGCGTGGGAGCCGCGGTGCATCCCGATGGCTCCCGCCTGGCATTCCCACCTCTGCCTCCTCCCATGGCCGTGCTTGGCAGCTGGCGGGGGTTCCTGTGCCTCCCTGTTTCCATCATAATTTCCATTTCTCTCCTTCACTTTCTTTATGAGTCTCTTTTGTGCCTATAATGGAAAATAGAGTAAGTGAGCCTGTAATTAAAGGCTGTGCTGTGCCGTACCGCGTGCACACATGAATTAAAGCTGCACAGGCAGCCTCGGAGTGCATGGTCTTGCCTTTTAAGTAACATAATTTCAACTACTGAAAAATATAATTTACCTCAGTAATGGCAGGTGCTGGGGATTTTGTTGTTATGAGGCTGGCTGGTACCCAGGCGTACAAGGAGGACAACAGTAATCCCGGAGAGGAACGGACAGGACTATTACAGCCAGTGACTCGAAGGCGCTCACTCACATTTGATGATTTTCTTGGCCAATCTGATGTTAAAAGAACCAGTAATTTCAGGTGGCAGTAATTTCTGTACACCAGCAGCCAAGAGATAAACTTAAAAGCATTTATGTGAACTGGCAGCAGTCACTGCGGATGGGGATCTCATGTTTCAGGTCTGCCATGTGGTTGGTGACTCTGGGACCATCGCTTGGAGAGACCAGAGAGGAGGGGGAGCTTGTGGACCCGGCACATCAAAACAGCCTCGGGTTTTGTGTGTGTGCTGAGATGGGCTTGAGTGATTGAGATTACAGATGTCTTAATTTTCAGGAACAGAAAGTCAGGGACAGCTAGTTTATCACCTTTTGCTCCTTAGAAATTACCCCTAAAGTGCATTCAAGTCCCTTCTCTTGATGCTGCATCACAACCGATCTGTATCATCATCATCTTCTCACCTAACCTCTGAAGATCAGGTTTTGGTCATGGGGCAGAGCATCTCCAGATGAAGCAGCCATCATTGGGGGGTTTCTTGCAGGTGAGTTTTTGCTGTGACAGTCTGTAATGAAGCACTGGCAAGGTGTGCAAACACTTGTGAAGCGTTTCCTGGGCTCTCCCCTCCTTCCCTGCAGCCCCCAGGTTTGGCTGAGCTCTGTGGTCAGAGGAGATGTGTTGGAAGTGTCACAGCTGTGCTGGGTCTCAGCGAGTTTGAGTGGCTCAGTCTCTGCTGCCACGTGTGCTCCATCATCCGTAGTGCCCTTTCTTGGCTTGTCTCGGTCCCTGCCCTCCTTCGTGGGGTGCATGAGGCAGCTGGAAGGGTGCAGAGCCAATACACCCTGTCTGCCGCCCCGCTCCCAGCAGAGCCTGGCTCCGGGCTGGCCCCGTGGCTTTGATGGATGCTCTCCAGAGCTGCCTGGAGCATCCCGGGGGGAATCGAATCCCGTGGAGTCAGGGTGCTGAGGTCCCTGTCCCTTTGGGGGTAAGCAGCTGCAGCCCCTGGGGACCCCCTGTGCTGAGGGAGAACGGGCACCACCAACCGCACCGGGACCGAGCGGTGTCTTCTGAACTCAGATCAGCCCCGTGGCTGCGGAGATGCCCTGGTACTGTTCGTTATTAGGACCCCGGGACTCCACCAAGGGCTTGTTTCTGTCTTCCCTCCCTGTGTCTGTCTCTTTGATCACCAGTGACCGACTTGAAGCTGTCAACGAAAGATAAGGCAATTAAAGGGTGCTAATTTCAAAGGGATTTTATTCTTTAAAGCATCTCTGGTTAGCACGGCGGCTGCCTTTGTCTCCTTCTTGGCTCAGCAAAGCGGCGAGCGGGGGCTTTGCAATTCCACTTGCACAAAAGTGGATTAATTCTTGTTTTTACAAAGCGGTCACCTGCTTAACACTGGATCTCCGACAAAATCAGGAGGGCTTGGTTTTGCAGAGCCCCAATGAAGAGGAAGGAGGTGAAGGCTTTGGTGGGCTTTATGGAATAGCCCGTGAGCACTGTCCCCCTCCAGCACCACTCCGGTGGAGGGCAGGGGTGGCTTTTCCCCTTGGAAAGTGCAAGGAGGAATTTAAATATACATGGTGTAATTAATGACCTGCCTTGGAAAGCCTCCCAGCTGCCAGGGCAGGCAGCTTTATGTGGCCAAAACTTGCTCCGTAGGTGCTGTCTGATTGAATACTCTACAGGTGCCTCTATATGCAGCCCACCAGCCTCTTGCAATGCTTTAGATAAAATTTTTGGAAACCCGAAATGTCCAGTATCCTCCTTAGAAGAGCTGCCCAGGGATTTTGTGGGATGTCACGCTGGGGTAAGGGGACACAGGCTGCACCCACGAACCAGCCTGCTGTGCCCCTGGGTGTTGCTGGATCCCTTCTCCTGCCATGCTGGGGAAGTAAGCGATGGGTTCCCTAACGAGAGCGAGCAGCCTGCCAGTCAGCTGCAGAAAAATCAATACCGCTGTTAATTGAATGCAACCCTCATAAATCATCAGAGGGGAAGGAAATTAGAAGTACTTATGGAAGCCTCCTGGAGAGCTATTTACTGTGCAAGGGAAATATGAGTTTGCAGGGGAAGTGTTGGTCTCCTGCTGGAAAGTGACTGGGAGGGAGGGAGGGGGTCTGAAGTGGCTGACCCAGGCTGGCACCGTGACCCAGGCTGGCACCGTAACCTGACAGCGCTGGGACTCGGAGAAACCCTTTTGCAGGAGCTGGGCTGCCCCTGCCCACCCCACGCCCGCGGGGAGGTGGCAGAGGGGAAGCTGGGGTCTGCAGCACTGGCATCCCCGGTCATCCCTCTTCTCCACACGGTACTTAGCCTGCAAAGGGTGTTACTTGCTAACGACTGATTAATCTTCAAGCTTAATTACTGCCAAGGCTCAGTTAATTTCCACACACTTTAAGTATTTGTTCTTGTAATCATTACATGACTCCATATTCCCCCAGTAATTAAAAGTCTCACAATATGACACTAAATGGGTGATGTTCCTGCATCCTGCCAGCCTGGCTCTATTAATTCCTGAATTGTCGCCGTTGGTAAGCTGGCTTTAGTGAAATTGCTGTGAGATGCCGCGGTGCCCTGCTATCCAGGTGAGCCCGGACCGGTCTTGGACCCCTCTGTACATCGTCTCCATGGCACGCTGCGGGGCTCGGCGAGGACATCTGCAAGGTGAGGCTGGTGCTATGTGGTCTGAAAGCTGTCCGGAGTGAGCAGAGCCCTGAAGCAGCCCACGGGGAAGGTGGAAGGTAAGGGCCGTCCTGCGATCCAGTCCACCTTTGCTGGGTGGTTGTTTTGCCAAGCAAAGCTTGGCTGCAGGACCAGCATCAGGGGTGCAGCTGGGCAGGAGAGCCCATCAGCCCGCGCTGCAGGAGCCTTCCTCCCTGGCACTCTCCTTCCTCACAGGTTCCGCGTCCCATTTCGTTCTGGCAGAAACAGCGAGTTATTTCTTGCCAACTCCTGAGGATGTCTCCAGCCCAGTGCTGGATGCTTTCAGGGTTAGCTTGGAGGGGATGGGCACAGCGCAGGGGGTCGCTGAGGACCCCTCAGCCTGAGGTCCCCATCAGGGTTAGGGGAGGTGATGCATGGGGAAATTCATGCCTGGGCAGCTGAGATCAATTACTTTTCTCTCTAAGGCAGAGTGGAGTGGTGGCTGTGTACCACTAGCAGGGTGGCCAGGGGACTAAGGCCCATCCATGTGCCCCCACCTTGCCCAAGGGTCTTTGAGCTTGTTGGGAGAGACCCGCAGCCAGAGGGTGATGGGCATTGCCAGCACGGTGGGGCTATAGATGCCAGTGTGTGCCCAGGTCACTCTCACTCTCCCCTCCTGCTCCCAGGCTTGTCCCTCCCCCAGCATCTCCAGCTTAATTTGCTGAACCTAATTCCGCGATAGACTTTGCTTTCTGTTCATTTTGTGCCTTTCCATCCCAAAGCATTGATACACTGGGGGCTGCTTCTTTACAGGGCTTTGCAAATGAGGCTTCTTGATGGATTAACACGTGGAGGCAAAGTGCTGTTGCCGGCATTTTTGTGCCATGGTTGTTTGTGTGCTCTGGGGCGGCTTGCACAGGGAAAGCCCTCGGCACCCAGCTGGGGCAAGCGGAGCCCAGGGCTTCAGGGCAATTCTTGGGGAGCTGGTGATGTGGGGTGGGGAGGAGCATGGTACCAGCGTGCCTTTGCTCAGGCTGTGTATCTGAT